TTTTGGTTTTTCTCCGGTACCAGGAACCGAACTCACGACCTTGCGCTTGCCAGGCAGGCGCTTTTGCCACTGAGCTAAATCCCCAGCCCCCAAGATAGTAACACTGTTGGGGCACATTTTCATCCCTTATAAAACAGAAATTATCTTCTTCTAAATTCCTCTCCTGACCTCTCTTTATACTAAGACTTCCAAAGTTACAAAAAAGCATTACTTCTTTATTCCCTGCTGACCCAAATTCTGTGCCTCATGGGAAATTCCTAATTTTATTATAGCTGAACATACAGCTCAATCCCAAGTGATAGAGGTACAATGTCTTACTTAGAAGCTAACTTTTAACAGAAATCATAAACATCATGAAAGAAGTTCTGCTGGATTAACAGTCTGCAGGAGAATGTGGATCCATCTGTGCAAACACCAACGCAGTCATGTTGGGAGTCCTTACCTTCTCTGAGACAGCAGTGAAGGTCATGGCGTGGGTCATAAGTGACTCACCAAAAGACAACCTCTCAGCTTTATTCATGTTCTTCAAGGAGACACCAAACACCAACTCATGGTCATAGCTGTAGAAAGAATGATAGTGCAATATAAAGACAGCACAATCCTGCCTTCTGACTATAAAAGGACCACAGGCAACTGATTAGGCTCAACAGCTCTAAATAAATATGGGTTCTAGCTGTAGCTCTTCAGAAAAAACATGGCACATGCAGAATTTTGTTTCTCAATGGGGTTCCATTCTTTCTGTATTATAAGAGTATACATGAAAAAATGAAATGATTAAAGATTAAATTCACCATATCAAAAGCTGGCACAATCAGTTTGAATTATCATTTTGGCAAGAAAACTTCTTAAAAAGTATGGAAGAAAGCATCTGAAGTAATTTCTTACAAAAATAGTCTCTTTCAAGCTGGAATCAGCCAGTTTCTGAATTCATTTAAAACCCTTCTGACTGAAATTTAAATAAATGATGCCAAATACATTGGACATTGTTTTCTTTTTTGTCTTTTTGAGGCAGGGTTTCACTATGCAGTTCAGGCTGGCCTTGAACTCACATTGTAGCCCCAGGCTAGCCTCAAACTCACAGCAATCCTCCTGCCTCAACCTACTGAGTACTGGCATTACAGTGGCATTACAGATTGCTACCACACCTGCCTGGATATTATTTTCAAAATTTAAAAAAACCTATTCTCTTTTAGCAAATTTCTTTCTTTTCTTAACTATCAAGTTATTTACTCAACTTCCTAGTAGTTTACCAGTTACTTATAAATAACTCTCAAATGGTATATATTAACAGTTAAGGAATCTAGTATGATTTAGTTTGCAAAGGAATGTTCACTACCATAATGGACAAGGATGCATGCAAATTAGTCCTACTTCTCATAAAGACAAAATATATAAGGCATCAAAATAAGGTAAGCAGTATGAGAAATATCAAATAGCATGTAACAGGTCTAGAAAATCTTTCACTATACTCCCAAATACACTGAACAGATTAACATGGTAATCAATTATTTTTTTAAACTGTCTTTCTCATTAAGGATGCTTTTTTGGAAGACTAATGACTTCTGCTAAAGTATGATCTTGATGTCTGGGCTTAAGCAGTTAAATATGTGGTTTCTGCTATGTGACTTCATGTTCTATAGGATGCAATGAAAGAGACCCACCCTTAGGCCAACCTCTTTTTGGATGAACCTCAGCAGTCATTATGTATCAAGAGGGCATTCCAAGAGCAACAACCCAAAATGACTATTTTAAATTTCTTGTACTCACACATTCATGTCACTGAGGCCCAGCTTGCCACTGAAGTGTTTTCCAACATCACAGCCAAACCACACAGCCTAGAAACAGAGAATGGAGAACAATCAACAAAAACCCTATCTTCTTAAAGAAGTAAAATAAGTTATTTTAACCCCAATGTGGGAGACACAAAAGCAATACTAACCTCTCCATCTTTGATGGAAGCGGCAACCATCTTTTTCAATAAGTCAATGGGCTGGTTGTTATACAAAGTTCTTCTCCCTCCAACCATATTACTCAAGTAGTCTACAGTATAAAGTTTATTGTACTTGTGCTGGGGCCGTGGATCATTCACAAAACAAATCTTTTAAAATCGAGAATATGCTGATTAGATCATAAAATCAGGAATATCAAGCAAGACATGTCTTTTTCCTCTAGGTTTGTAAGTTTGCATTGAACTCATCACTTCTGCCTAGAATAAGCAATATAGCCACACTGTAAAGTAACAAACAAATAAAAGTGGCAAAATACATGTGAGGGAGGCCCTCGCATATTCTAATTAGTGCAAGGGACACGTTTGGGAGCGACATTTACTTGTTTTTCCTATGGGTAAGAACTGTCCCAAAATTAGTTCTAAAAAACTGCATGTACTCAGTTTTTTAGAGAGCTCATTACTGTAAGGTTCCTTCTCTTAAGTTATAAGACAATATCAACACCTGGCAATACCATTTGCTCAGAAGAGAGTCAAGATTATCAATAAGAGGAAGGAGGTTGAGGTCATACTATTAGGCATATGGGGAAGAACTGAAGAAAGTAGGAAAAATTAAGATGGAGCAATGCTCCCTTCAACAATAAAGTTTCCAGAAGGGCCCACGGTATGATGGTGCTCTGAATTCAGGGTAAGAAATATATACCTTCCTCGTGTTTGCACCTGAGAATGATTCTGGCCCCAAATCAAGGGACAAGACATATAAATTGACTGGTGGCATAAAGTCAGAAAAGTCTCTGAAGAAGAACACCCGGAAAAGGTGAAAGATTCTGCATGCCAACTTGATTAGGTGTATAAAATACTTCAGAGTATGGGAAATAAAAAGTTCATTTGGTGTTTAGTTTGATGATCACACGTTAACCCAAGAATCTTGCACAACAAACATTTGAAAGTAAATAACCAGTGCTGCGAATGCCAGTCTCCAACCTTATCTTCCATATTGAAGAGTGGTTTGACATGTTCCTTGTAAAACTTCAAGGGTGTTATGGGGCCAATCTTGTGGTAATTTTTATCTTTGTCTCGATACTCCCAGGTAAATGTCTCTGGTGGATTACCCAAACAGATGCATACTACTCGGAATATCTGCAAGAGAAGAGCACAAATGAGCAATGGGAGAGAAAACTTTTCTTCAAGTCGGGGAAACATAAGATATTAGTGGCTAAATTCAAGACATAAATTTAAAAAAAAAAAAAAATCTAGTACTTCTCTAAAAACTAGAAAATTTATGCCCAGAATCTAGTATCAGTAAACTCCTGAATTCTAAGATAAACACTCAGAACAATGTACTTTTGAAATGTTAATGTTTAGTGCTCAGTACTTGTCCTACAAATTAAACTTCCTTATCGAAGGAACTGCTCACCATTGATACTCAACAAGATCTGGGTTATTACTCTAATGATAACTTTTCAAGTGACAATGACATTTTATAAACAGACTTCCTTCCCTTTATGCCTTGAAGGTTTGCTTTGATTGTGACAGGAATCTACTCAAAACAATCACTATCTTTTCAACTGCAACTTGAGCGATGATACCCATTACAAGTATTATTAGGGGTGTCTGCCCAGGCTGGGCTAAACCCCGGACATCTTCACGAAGCCTGGTGAGTCGCAGCAGCACCTCCCTGACCATCATGCAAGGCTGACAAAACCTTGGGCACCCTCTTGGGCCTCAGTGGCTACCCACCACACTCCAGAGAGCCTCTAGATCTTCAAAAATGACAAAACGAACGAGCAAAATGTAATCCCAGACCTCCACACCACCCAAAACAAGTCCAGGAGACATTAACACAGAAGGGCCTGGAAGTCATATACCTGAAATTTCTGAAATGATAGCGGCTGAGGTAAAGAAACAACTCCACCAAGCCATAGAAGACATCAGATCAGAAATAATGTCTCTGGTGAAAAAAGAAATGACAACAATAATGAAAGAAATGCTCAGTGTATCCAAAATTGACATGGACAAGAAAATAGAAGAGCACAGACAACTCATGGAAACCTTCAGTGAACAATATAGAAAAGAACTAGAAGGTATGAAACAGATGCAAACAGATATCCAGGAATTAAAAATTCCATTGAAAGCTTGCAAAACCAAACGAATGAGGCTGAAGATAGACTTTCAGACCTTGAAGACAGCATTGCTACCAATGAACATGAAAGGAGGGATCTCTTAAAAACAACAAGGAACCAGGAAATAACAATTCAACAACTGCAAGATAAAGGAAAGAACAATGTCAGATTAATAGGTATTAATGAAACAGCAGGTGTCAACACAAGACTATCTGCAGAAATAATAGGAAAAAATTTCCCAGGCGTGGTAAAAGAATCAGACATCCAGATATGTGAAGCATATAGAACTCCAGTTAATCATAACCAAAATAAATCTACACCCAGACATATAGTGATCAAGATCCCAGAAATTCAACAAAAGCTCAGAATATTAAAAGCTGTTAGAGTTAAGAAACAGATCACCTATGAAGGAAAATCTACCAGAATCACGGCAGACTTCTCAACACAAACCATCAGGGCAAGAAGAGCTTGGAGTGAAGTATTTCAGATACTGAAAGAAAACAACTTCCAACACAGATTGATGTACCCTGCAAAACTATCTTTCAAATTTAATGGAGAAATAAAATATTTTCATGATAAAGAACAACT